CGCCTCGGATTACAAACTTCAGCCCGACCATTATTTGCTACTTATCGGCCTTATAACGTTAATAACTATTGAAGGAGACCAGCAAGCAGGGGTGCCGATTACGTGGGTGCTCGGGGGGCTCGAGCACCCACGAGCATAGACATAAAAACTGATAATCCTCTCTAGTTCCTAGAAAACTGGTTAATTTTGTACCTCGGGTTCCTGAAATCTGGTTAACCAAATGTCAAAATAGTTACCGGCCATCGGATGTCGGTTGGTTTTATCAAGGTTTTATCTGTAACTTCTGTCAATTATGTCTTATTTCCATATTTGCGTTCCCCAAAGTAACCGGAATTTTCAGTAAACATCTGTTGACCGATTCGGTTACTTTAGCTCCTGTTCCAACAGACATGAAAACCTTTCTAGAACGGTAATTTTTAGTCGATCAATCCATTTGTCAGTTAGGAAAAACGTTTAACTTATTGAAAAATAGGTGGGCAACTGGAAATTATTGGCTCTGGAACGGTTCTCATGTCTGTTGGAACAGAGCTAATGGTTAACAATCGGTTATATTTGGACTATAGCCTTATATAGGTTATGTTCCGATATCAACTCTGTCAGTACTGAATTTACTGGACGCCGTTCCAATATTATTTTCAGTACACTGAATTTATTCGATTCAGTACTGAATGACCACAAGAGTATGCTGTTGAAATTGGAATGGCAAATGACAGTAAGATCAGCACAGTAAATCCATTACTGGCAGTTGATATCGGAGCATGGTGGTACTTTGTTTAGAAGAAGAAGATGATGAAGAAAATCAGAAATCTTTTAAGCCTAGTACTCATAACTGCGAAATTCGCGTTTTTTTGACATTGCGTTGACAACTTGACGTTTTATGCGTCAAATTGTCGAAGCAATGTCAAAAAAATGCGAATTTCGCAGTTATGAGTACTAGGCTTTATGCAGGATAGCGTAAAACGCAGATTTTCGGTACATGCTGCTTGGAAAAGAATATCCCCAGGAGAGTTTTCCACACTTTACAGTAGAGTGATTTCACAGCTATCAGACCAATATCCACCTCTATCACGTAAAAACCCCCCTCCAGCACAGCCATCATACCACTACCCACCTCCACTGTACCCCCTTCCGTGAAGCTCCTACCCTGAGGAGGCACTTTTTACCCACCTGCACTGTAAACCCTCTTCCGTAAAGCCCTCCATTATTCTATTTTCAAAAGGCTCCTACCCGGAGATGGCACTTTATTATATCCCTTCACTTTCTTGAAAACTAAAGAATATTTAACCAATTCTTCCATTTGTATTCGTCAATTTTGGAGTTGGCCCGGGTTAAATCCCCAAAATTTCAGAACAAAAGCGCCGCCGATCTAGAGATTTTCCCACGGTATCGAAAAACTTCCCAGGCTCAAGTGCCCCCGGCTATCAGACCAATACCCACCTCTACTACGTAAGTGGTCCATCAGATTCACAAGCAAAATGTTATTATTGCAATGGAGTTTAGAACACTATTGACGAATACAAATGCAGGAATAGTTGAAATATTCTTTAGTTTTCAAGAAAGTGAAGGGATATGGAAAGAGGTACCTCTTCAGAGTAGAAGCTTTTTGACGTAGTGGAGGTGGGTATTGCTCTGATAGCTGTGAGGTGGGTATTGGTCATAAACAGGTGCATTAATTTTATTGCAATAATAAATATTTTACTTGTGAATCTGCTAGTCTGATAGCTGGGGGCACTTGAGCCTTGGAAGTTTTTCGATAACGTGGGAAAATCTCTAGATCGGTGAGGCTTTTGATCTGCAATTTTGGGGATTTGACTCGGGCCAACCACAAAATTGACGAATACAAATGGAAGAATTGGTTAAATATTATTTAGTTTTCAAGAAAGTGGAGGGATATAAAAAAGTGCCTCCTCAGGGTAGGAGCTTCACGGAAGAGGGTTTACAGTGGAGGTGGGTAGTGGTATGATGGCTATGCTGGAGGGGGGCTTTTATGTAGTAGAAGTGGGTATTGTTCTGATAGCTGTGAAAACACTCTACTCTTTACCCTTATAGCCGTTCTTTTTCTCCAATTTTAGCAGACACCGCAAAAAACTTACGCAAGCACCAAGCAAAACTAGTTCTCGCAGCTGAAAAACGAATATGGAAAGGTGTGAACTACGTTGTTTGAAATGTATCACCATTCCCTTCTTAGACACTCGTCCGAATGTAAATTAAAGAATGCTGGTAAACGTTTTTGGGCGTGGCATCTGGAGAAATTTTTTCCCCACCGGCGGACTGTTCACCCTCCGGTGCATGAACCTCAGCACCCACGAGGTTTTCTGAAACCCGGCGCGCCTGCCAGCAAGCAGGTCAAGAATAGAAAGGATTACAAATCAGAATTAAGGAATTGATGGACGTAAGACACAATAGTAGATAATCTAAACAAACTTTACATATAAAGGACAAACAACTGATTTGGTTCAGACATGTACTCAAACGGGGTTTAATGAATCAGTATGGGTAAAGTGAATCACCCGGATGAGTTGTCAAATTCTTTCGGTGTTCGCATGATATTCGTACGTTACTTTCATTTACTGATGCTGGTGAGGTAGTACTTCGTCGGTTTCGGAAATATGAGAGTCAGCATGAACTTATTTTGAATGCATGTTTTTTTGTGATATGAGAAAAAGTCGACAAGGTTTAGTTGTAGGAGCACAGGGGTATGTGTTCCGGATATATGACTGATAACAAGTGTAGCCCAGTTATGTCGGCAGCATATTCCCGAAGTTTCTTTGATTTTACTTATATGGTCGCATGAATATGATTTTTTTAACCGAAAATGAACACAACAGGGAGTAAAATGAATCAGCTGCCAAACCAAATGAAACAAAAATAAATAAGAATGAACAGGAGAGTAAATTATTTTAATTTCATCGGAAATTTGGAACAACTGTGTTGAAGAGACTACAACGAAAACTACCCCTATTTCCTCCCCCCTTTTAAAATGCCTAGGAACTACAAGAAAAAGTTGGAGCCTCAGGGCAAATACAATTACGACAAAATTTACGTAGAAAGAGCAGTGGCGGCGGTCTGACGAGGAAGCTTGTCCATGCGCAAAACTTCTAAGCAATCTGGAGTGCCGTTTAGCACTATTCACCGAATCCACTCTTTAAAAAAATGGTCGCCAATCAGTGCTAAACAAGGAACAAGAAGCTCGCATCAAGGATGACTCTCTTCAAATATGCACAGTACACACAATGGGGGTTTCCCTCTAAAATCAAATGATATCAGGGAAATTGAGCAGCAATATCTTAACAAAGTTGGGACTCACCGAAAAAAGATTCAAAGACAATTTTCCAGGACTCGATTGGACAACTGGTTTGAATTATTTATGGAACGACGTCCAAAATTCACCGTTAAATTAGCGGAGAATGTTCTTTTTTTTGTGTTAAACAATTTTTTGAACAAAATACACTTCTTTCAACCTTGTGAACTAGTTCGCTTTACCCATTATAAGTCTAAAGTGAATAAAACGCAAATTTAAACGGGTGATTCACTTTACCCCACAATGGTGGGTAAAGTGAATCAACCTTTGACCCAGAAAAAAGGGCGGTTCCCATACTCAAAAAGGGCCAATATGTTGTTGAATCCTTCGGGAAGGGTGCTAGAATATACATTATTATTTGCATATTTTTTGATCTGATGGTTTCGAAGATATCAACAAAAAACACGACGGTTTTCTACCACACACTTCGGTTTTGGCACGACGTGTTTCCTCGCGGCGGTGAAAACCGTCGTGTTTCACCGTAGTGTATGGGGCCCTTTAGGGCCTCATAAACTACGTTCTTTCTCGTCAATTTTCATCGCCACGATGAAACACGTCGTTCCAAAACTGAAGTGTATGGTAGAAAACCGTCGTGTTTTTCTACCATACACTTCGGTTTTGGAACGTCGTGTTTCATCGCGGCGAGAAAAACCGACGAGAAAGAACGTAGTGTATGGGGCCCTATACACTACGATGAAACACGACGGTTTTCACCGCCACGATGAAACACGTCGTTCCAAAACCGAAGTGTGTGGTAGAAAACCGTTCGTATGTACGAAATGTTGAACCGTCGTGCCAAAAATCAAGCTTGGACTGAATTTTAAATCGACGATGAAACACAACGGTTTTCTACCACACACATCGGTTTTGGAACGACGTGTTTCATCGTGGCGATGAAAACCGTCGTGTTTTATCGTAGTCTGTGGGGCTCTATAGAAAACCGTCGTGTTTTTCTATCACACACTTCGGTTTAAGAACGACGTGTTTCATCGTGGCGATGAAAACCGTCGTGTTTCATCGTAGTGTATGGGGCCCTTACGAAATGTTGAACCGTCGTGCCAAAAATCAAGCTCGGACTGAATTTTAAACCGACGATGAAACACGACGGTTTTCTACCACACACTTCGGTTTTGGAACGACGTGTTTCATCGGGGCGATGAAAACCGTCGTGTTTCATCTTAGTGTATGGGGCCCTGTAGAAAACCGTCGTGTTTTTCTATTACACATTTCGGTTTTAGAACGACGTGTTTTATCATGGCGATGAAAACCGTCGTGTTTCATCGTAGTGTATGGGGCCCTATATACTACGTCCTTTCTCATCGGTTTTCATTGCCACGATGAAACACGTCGTTCCAAAACCGAAGTTTGTGGTAAAAAACCGTCGTCAAAGAATCCGTCGTGTATTTCTACCACACAGTTCGGTTTTGGAACGACCGTGTTTCATCTCATCGCGGCGATGAAAACCGTCGTGTTTCATAGTGTATGGGGCCCATTAGATTTGAAGTAGGATGAGGCAGAACCATCATAGCACAAGCAAGAATATGTTTTAGCGATCCTGCTTCGAATGTATTTCTAATTTCTTCGACATCATTATTTGTACATCCATTCATTAAATTAAGACCCCAATAAGACACTTACCAAAATGTATGCCAATAATATTAACTTGGCTTTAGTAATTGAAGAAAAAAAAACACCCAACTCCTCAAATACAATTTATTACAAGTTAATTAAACATAATTGAAACTCAAACAAACTCTTAAAAAAATCCAAAAACACAAATTATATGTTTACAAACTCTTCTTCTATAGTTTCAATTGAGTCATGAAGGCATTTTACCTGTTGAAACTTTAAAACAAACCTTGCAGAACAACCAAAACCACAACCAAACCCAAACTAAACCCATAACTCTCAACTCCGCTCCTAACAAACAACCCAAAAGTAACGACATTACTTGCAGGCCGCGTTATATTGTAACTAACTCCAACAGTTACATTACTCCTATTTTCCAAATAAGTTGTATTGTAAACTGGCTGTAAGTTACCAGTTAATGTTATTGGCCTGTAAAATTCTTCGGGCTGTACTTCCCAATTACCCCAGACGGTGATTTGCCTGAAGGTTGTGTTATAAGGAGTTGAAAGCCGAACTCCACAGGAACTTTTGTCTTGGTTCAGGCAAGCCACAATGTCGCAGAACTTTATGCCTACTTGGGTGTTGTTGAACCAGGTTTTACCATTGAATGCAACCAACCTAATATAATAATTGTAAGTAGGTATATTATATTGAAGCTGAAATTCTTACTTGTAAACTTCTGATGAATTCGTTTCGTTTTGGAAAGCAACTATGTTGAAGTTGCAACAAAATCCGGCATGGCAAATATCCGCTGTAATATTTTCTGATGATAAATCCAACGATTTGAAGCTGTAAGAATTATAATCGAAATCGGTTTGGATTTTGTAGTTGGCCAGTTCTTGTACGGTTTCGTTACGGAGAATATCAAAGCCCATAAGTTCCTAATGTAAGCAAAATTATCAAAGAATTATTGGAAAATATAATATTTGCTTACAAAATTTTTGGATGTTTTGGATACTGTGGCGTAAATAGAACTTGTAGAAGGACTATCGACTAAAATGTATCTCAAAACTGTTCCGTCACTGTTTATAATTGAACTACCACCCATACCATTTGATGGGTTATTAATATTTGCAGCCAAAAGGTTTACTTTGTTGGCTAAAGCGTAACCTACTTGGACTTCTAAAGCTAAAATAATTATTTTATTAAATAATATAATTATTGTGAAAATAATCTTACACATATAAAAAGGTAGATAAGAATTCCAAGCTGTAGAAAATATTACATCAGTAACTCCAGTATCAATCAATACAGTTTGAGAAGGATTGTAATACAAAATATCAGCGCAAGTGATCAAGCCAAAAGTACCAAAATCGGTGGTGAAAGTTGATAATTCCTTGCCAGGAGTCAGTTTGGGTTCGGCGTACAAATTGATTTTTCTGTATTTGGCAACCAAGGTACCATTGCTGGCAAATACAATGTTGGTGTTGTAGTAAATAATGGTACCATTCTCGGTACCGTTTACTTGTTCCAAAATATTAACGACCAAGTATAGGCTGTGAGCTTTTGCTGTGTTTGATAGACTGAGTAATGGCTAAAAAATTCTCAAAGGTGATTTAAATTATGAAATCCAAAGTACTTACCAGAGCTTCATTGGAAAAGTTAAAAGTTCCTACATCTGGAATTGATAGAGCGAGTTCTTCGGGATTTTCTGCCAAACCTGTTAGACCATATTCGGGAAAAACGACAATATCAGCTTGAAATCCCTATATATAATGCAGAAAAAAATTGAATTTCAGTGCTTTAATTAGAGCTTAATTACATTGATATCGGATGAAAATTAATGAAGCTGTGAGTCAAAATCTGTCTCAGTGCCATTTTTGCAAAACTTCTATACAGTATAAGCTGCGTCAAGTTAGCCCCCCCACATTCGAATTTTCTAAAAAAATTGCAACCACTTACTGTACGCTCAGCCCCCCCAAAATTTTGGAAATCAGATAAAGCCAAAAAGGATTCTTATCCAATTTGAAGTGTGCTGAAATGTGCTGTATCAGGTTTTTCTGAAAATTTCCATATTCGGTCATTTTCCGACAAAATCCTACTAGGGGGCTAACTTGACGCTCAGCCCCCCCAAAATTTCGAAAATCAGTTTGCACAAAATTGAATTCTCATCCACTCTGAAGTGTGCTGAACTGTGCTGTACCAGGTTTTTCTCGAAATTTCCATATTCGGTCATTTTCCGACGAAAAACTAAGAGGGGGCTAAGTTGATATCAAATTTTAGAAATCAGATCAAAGAAAAACGGACTCTGACTCGGATTCTTATTAAATCTGAAGTGAGCTGAATTGTGCCTGATCAGGTTATCCCAAGTTTCCATGTTTGACCATTTCCCGATATAAACCTAATGGATGGTATGTATGTATGTAAATTCTCAGAGCTGAACGTCAAGTTAGCTAGTAGGATTTTGTCGGAAAATAAGCGAATATGGAAATTTTGAGAAAAGCCTGATACAGCACAGTTCAGCACACTGTAGATTGGATAAGAACTCAATTCTGTTTAATCTGATTTCCAAAATTTTGGGGGGGCTGAGCGTCAAGTTAGCCCCCAGTAGGATTTTGTTGGAAAATGACCGAATATGGAAATTTTCAGAAAAACCTGATACAGCACATTTCAGCACACTTCAAATTGGATAAGAATCCTTTTTGGTTTTATCTGATTTCCAAAATTTTGGGGGGGCTGAGCGTCAAGTTAGCCCCTCATCTATTTTTTCCTATAACCTTGTTATCGAAACGGCACAAAATATCATCGGCACAGTAAAGCACACTTCGAGCACAGTAAGTGGTTGCAATTTTCTTAGAAAATTCGAATGTGGGGGGCTAACTTGACGGAGCCATACAGTATATCGTGTTCACAATCCGATGTCCACAGGTGCAGTTAAATTTATCACCTTTCCCTATCAAATAGCATTGAAAAGTGATAAATTTTACCTATACCTGTGGACATCGGATTATGAACAGATAATATAGAATGAATTAAACTTACCTTAGCTTGTTCAATTTGATAAATATATTGTTTGAGATTCTCTTCAATGGTCAAAGCTGGGGTTGGACCGGCTACTGGATTATGCTCAACGACTGCCGCTATGTAATCCTGAAAAAAATGAACTTAACAATATATACCAGAGCCCATAATACTCCATACTTACCGCATAACAACAATTTGCAATAAACAATAAAAACACGCAAATTAGTTGCATTTTTGTTGCTGTTATACAAGAGAAAATGTGATCCAGTAAGAAAAACGGGCAAAATTATAAAAGATACCGATAGATAAAATGCCTTTTATCAATGATAATTCTATTTGCTTATGAGATAAAAGTCTAACGTTTGTATTTGTCACTGTGTAAACTTACTGGTACTACCTTATTACATTACTTACTGAGAATTATAATAATAAAAACTGCGTTGTTTTTGTTCTGCAATAATTAAGAGTGACTGGGAATTACCTACTAATTTGTTATTTTTTACAAAACAATAGATTATTCATAGTTATAAATCCCTAGTCCCTTATTATTAGAAGTTCAATCTAACAAATTTAGGATTTACCCAATCTGTAGCTTATTTTAAAATTCGGGTTATCGAACCAATTTCTCTATTTCTTATAGATTCTGCTTAAATGAAAACCGTGAAAAATATGTACAAATTATTAGGTACTTGTAATGGGATTCTCCATTTTTATTCAATTACTCACTACAATGACTATTTTGCCTAGGTAAGATGACTAAAGAAAAAATCTCAAAACCTATTTATCAAAAAAAAAAAATGCTTCATAAATGCTGAATATTTAAACTGAATAGGTACTTAAATCAGTCACTTAAAGTAGCTATAATAACTGCAATAATTTGAAAATTGTGTAGGAGATACAGCACGAAGCTTTTTAAAAATCATATTTCCACTATAACAAGCCGGTCCTGCAAAGTGACTTCTTGGCCATAAAAATAAATATTCAGTTCTTGGTGAATTCAAAATTTCGTTGAAGGTGGTACCAGGAGGTTGGGTACTTTCACATTTCGTTGTTGACCAGTTATAATAATATAGAAGGTCAGTACAATATTAAAATAAATATTTATCTTTGTAATTTATATATTTTGGTGTGGAAAAATTGGAAAATAATCTGCAAGGTACCTACATTGGATTCTTATTATATTTTACTTAGGTACTATACTAAATCAAGAGCCGGGAATAGTTCAAATTTTGATTATTACTGGCGCTCTAATCTAATCAACAGAAAACTGTTCCAGACGAAATCCAGAGTCAAGAGCCGGGAATAGTTGAAATTTGGATAATTTGAGTCCATTTTCTACCTACAAAAATCTCATTTTGTATGTTATTTTATTGCAGGATGAACCGGTTCTTTGGTCCACCAATAATTTGGGTATTATTACAACTGGTTCTTCAAATCAGGTAAGCACAGGTTTTTGACCACAAAGTTCATTAATCCAATGATTTTTTTTGTTTCAGCTCCCTTAATTCTCCATGGCGTTGGGAATGCGTAAAAGGGTACTGCCAAAAACGACAAACTACAAACGAAACCACTGCCTTAAGTTTATCAGCTTGCAGGTAATATACCCAAGTATAAAAAATAATTATTTTATGATTGATTTTTTTAGACTATTTTGTTCCGAAGCTGGAGCGATATGGCCAAAACCGACAGGGGATGTATCAATAGGCAACTACTTATCCACCATAAATATTCACAGTATCGATATTTTGGGTGCTAAATCCGAAACTCCTATTTTCGAGTTAGTTAGAGGTGCTTCTAAAATTTTCAGAGACCAAGTACAAGCATTAGTACCACGGTAAGTTCTCCAATTACCTAGTCATAGTTCTTGTTTTTGGACAATTCAGACAACGAAACATTTCTCATACAAAGACAAACAATTTCTATTTCAGCAACAAATCACCAAAAGGAGGCAAATCTTTAGTAATTAGCTTAGACATCAAAGACCACACAATCAACAGTTTATCATTGGATCTTGACGAAAGCTACATACTAAAAATCACCGAAACTTCGGATAAAAGACCAACTGCTCTGATTACTGCCTCAAACTTTTTCGGAGCCAGACACGCTTTGGAAACCTTAAACCAACTCATCATTTTTGATGATTTAAGAGACGAACTTCAAATCGCCAGAGATGTTTTGATCAGTGATAGTCCTGCTTATCCTTATAGAGGAGTTTTACTGGATACTTCCAGGAATTTTATTACAGTAAGATTTTTGCTTTCTTAATAAGTTTGTATTGAGAAAAATGTATTTGTAGGTGGAGGCAATTAAAAAAACCTTAACAGCAATGGGGGCAGCCAAATTGAATACATTTCATTGGCACATAACTGATTCTCATAGTTTTCCCTATGTATCGAAATCCATGCCAGATTTATCCAAGTATGGAGCTTATTCAACTGACAAAGTTTACAGTCCGCAAGATGTCCAGGAAATTATTCTTTATGGAAAACAACGGTAATGGAATCTACAGAGAATACTGTAGAGGTTTAATCTTGTATTGTAGGGGTATTCGAGTACTCCCAGAATTCGATGCTCCAGCTCATGTAGGCGAAGGATGGCAAAATACCAATTTGGTTACTTGTTTCAATTGGCAACCGTGGCAAGATTTTTGTGTAGAGCCTCCATGTGGCCAATTTGATGTTACCAAACCGGAACTTTACGATGCTATTGCAGGTACATACAGATCGGACCAATCCAGACAGAACATATAGTCTTTGGTTTTAATTGGTTTGCACATTGAGGGTTTGCATTATGTCTGAACGTCTGAAAAAAACATCTCGTTGAAGACGTTTTTACAATGAATGTTTGTGGACATCTTAGGCAAACATCTTTAAGATGTCTACAAAAATTTCCCACAGAATTCGTTTCTTCTTCAATTTAGATTAGAAGTAATTGGAAACCATTATAAATATCGCTGAAAATTTCGTCTAAATGATCATTCGGGACCCCCAAACTTCCTACACTAAATTATTCTGAGATTTAGTAGTTTTAGTAGATTTAGTATAGCCTGGTATACCTACTCTTTACATTCTACAATTAATCATAATACGATATTTAATAATCTACAGACATCTACAATGACATGTTTGACCAATTCCAACCAGACATCTTCCACATGGGTGGAGATGAAGTAAACTTCAACTGTTGGAACAATACTCAGTCCATTGTTGATTGGATGAAGGCAAAAGGTTGGGGACGTGCCGAAGCTGACTTCATTAAACTATGGGACCATTTCCAAAGTCAAGCTTTGGAGAAGGTTTACAAAAAAGTAATAAACCAATTTCCTATACAATATCCACTATAAAACTATAACATTTTAGGCTGGCAAGAAAATTCCTGTGATAATGTGGACTAGTCATTTGACCCACAAAGAATATCTAACTGAATTTTTGCCCAAAGACAACTACATTGTGCAAATATGGACTACAGGCCATGATGAGCAAGTGCGTAATCTACTGGAAAATGGCTACCAAGTAATCCTAAGCAACTATGACGCTTTGTATTTGGATTGCGGTTTCGCTGGATGGGTAAATGATGGTAACAATTGGTGCTCGCCCTATATTGGCTGGCAAAAGGTGTACGAAAATAAACCATTAAAAATTGCTGGCGATAAACGTAAGCAAGTGCTTGGAGCAGAAGCTACAATGTGGACAGAACAAGTAGATTCCACGTCCTTGGACAGTCGTTTGTGGCCGAGATCTTCAGCGTTGGCTGAAGTTTTATGGACGGAACCAGAAACTTCGTGGAGGGAAGCTGAAACTAGATTTTTGATTCACAGAGAACGACTGGTGAAGTTGGGTGTTGATGCGGATGCATTGGAACCTGAATGGTGCATGCAGTATGAGGAAAATTGTCCTATTGGGGGCAAATTTAATGTCGATAATAGGAACTAAATTTAAAAATAAATTTATATTTAAGTATAATATACTACTTTTTGTAGAGAAGAATTTCATTTTTGCGGTTTCCTACTATGGCCATTGGACAATGGGTGAAAACGGTCACTGTAGAGCAAAAAACTATTCCGAAATGCGACCAATAAAAATCTATAAGATATTGAAAAACTTTCAGAAATGACAGCTTAAGCCTTCGCGCGGTAAGAGCTAATACTGAATATCTAAGTATTAAATTTCAATTTCTGGCCATTTAAGAAGCTGCAGGTGACATAGAGAACCTCATTTTACACTGAAAATCAACAAAATATGTATGGATAAAGGACTTACAACACACAGTTGAGCTAGAAAAGTTTGAATTGTTCATTTTACATCCTCATAAAGCTAAAATTCAACTGAGAAGAAGGCAATTCTTATCCCAGGATCTCCTGATTTAGATTTTTGTAAACTCTAGAAAATCATAACTTTTTTTCTATTAAAGTTAGAAAGCTGAAATTTTCAGCGATTCTTATCCCAGTAGAGGACTACAATCCCTGAAAATTTCAGCTCATTTGCACTTATAGTTCCTGAGATAAAATCGTGTTAAGCAAGTTGGGGTGATTTATCAATTTTTCAATTTTTCTGAGTGCCTTTTTTCATAGATTTCGGCTTCAAATCTGGGAATAAGTTAGTGTATGGAGTTTGGGGGATGTTAAATGACCATTAGGATACAAAATCTCAACAAAAAAAATTTTGAAAATGTTATCGTTTTAGTAAGAAGGTAGCTACCTTATGATTTAGATTTTGGAAAACTTTGAAAAGTTATAACTTTTTTTCTATTAAAGATAGAAAGCTAGCTGAAATTTTCAGCGATTCTTATCCCAGTAGAAGACTACAATCCCTGAAAATTTCAGCTCATTTGCACTTATAGTTCCTGAGATAAAATCGTGTTAAGCAATTTGGGGTGATTTATCAATTTTTCAATTTTTCTGAGTACCTTATTTTTTCATAGATTTCGGCTTCAAATCTGAGAATAATTTAGTGTATGGAGTTTGGGGATCCCAAATGACCATTAGGACACAAAATCTCTTCCTTTTGATTTAGATTTTGGGAAACTTTGAAAGGTCATAACTTTTCAAAATCCTCCATTTGACCCTCATAGAGTTAAACTTCAAGGAGAGAAATTGGAAAATTCGATTTGTGGCTCTCATAGAGTTGTATTGTAACTGCAATTTCTGGACCATAGAGTTGAAGTTGATTTAGAGTGGTTTAAAAAGTTCATTTTTACAACTCCTAGAGCTAAACTTCAATTTGAGAAGCGTGAATGTCCCAATTCCTGTTTCTCCAAGAGGTAGAATTTGAACTGCAAAAGTATTCTAGAATTAAAGTTGGGTTTGGAACGGATTGAAAGGTTCATCTTGACAGTGGCGTAGTGACGATGCTTCGGGCCCGTGTTCAAAAAATTTTACCGGGCCGCATTTTTCCGTTTCTTATTGGGTTACCGCTACATGGAGCGCTAATTCTTTAGGACTTGTAAAATTATATCTAGCATTGCGTTTCCTATTAGGCCAGCGCACATTGTCTACCGCTACATGGAGCGCTAATCATATAGGACGTTAAATTATATCTGACGTTGCGTTTCCTATTAGACCAGCGCACACCCTCTGCGATCGTCTACAGACATCCATTGCACTATAATCTATTTCATTATCGTTGTCATTTTTCGAGGTTAATTGGTGGTTACAGGTGGTGCAAGAATTTTGCAATATTTCTCGTTGTGTCTGGTTTTATTATCTCTGTTGATTTTGCACTGAGAAACAGTGGCGGCTCGTATATTAAAAATGTAGGGGTTGCAATTTCAATGGTACAATCATGCATGTTTTTCGTAAAGGTCCAGATTAAATGTCCTGGTGAAAGTCCTTTTTTTGCTATGTAGTTACAGTTTGTTCAATTTTTAAATTTGGAGTAGGCCTTCCAAGTCTTTTTATTTCAGCCTTATCGGTTAATGAACGACCAAAGAATGGCTCGGGAATTAAATTTTAAACATAATTCTTTTTTTTTCACCCCCCAACTTCACAAAACAAACCTAATTTGCGCTACGAGCAAAAAAAAATAAACAAAGTTTGCACTTTGCTTGCAACCTGCTGGAGCTTATGGGGCGGATTTCGAATCCACGCATATACAGGCAACCAAATGTGCGCCGTCATATAAAAGATCGGTTTGCTTTGGAGCTGCAATCCAGCGACTCGACGCCGCTACCCGCTACTCGAAGTCGCCGGCGCGGCGGCCTGTCAGTTGTTGATATTTTGGCGAAATTGGTCAAATTATTTTAATAATTGACTGCGTATTATGTAGGTCCCAAATTTTGGTATAATTTATTTTTTAAATATAATTAGGTACTAAAATTTAATTCTACTATTTTTGTTTTATATTTTTAAAGTTTTGTTGGGGGTTGCGCAAACCTGCAAACCTAAGGAAGAGCCGCCACTGCTGAGAAATCCTCTAGCCAAAAATTCTTTACTCATGGATTTTTGACTATCGTAGCAGAAATTTTAGCTGTAATTGCAAAACGATCCTATTCTATGTAGTAGTAGAACGCACTTTACTAAGTTAGCAAAAAGTACCTTGGTTGTAACAGTAAAGTTCTTTGCTGCCACTCATATTTTTTTAAATTATTACCCAACCCAATGTCAAAAGTCATGTAACAGCATAGTTGGCAAAATGAGCGTAGTTATTTAATTTATGTGCGCTGGTCTAATAGGAAACGCGACGTCAGATATAATTTAACAAGTCCTATATGATTAGCGCTCCATGTAGCGGTAGACAATGTGCGCTTGCCTAATAGGAAACGCGATGCTGGATATAATTTTACAAGTCCTAAAGGATTACCGCTCCATGTAGCAGTAACCAAATAGGAAACGGAAAAATGCTACCGGGCCCCTACCCCTGCGAGATGAAAAAATTGGAAAATGAGAGTTATATAATTTCTTTTTCAAATATACAGGGTGAACTTAAAGTATGGAACATATTCAATATAAAATTGTCTGGTAATGGGTTACTTGATGACGCATCTGAAGTGCCTTATGGAGATTTGCACTATGTATCGGCACCTCAGATGACGTCATAAAATTATCAGGCAACCTCCTTCTATTAAACAACCTTGAGCACAACAAAGCGCCATGCAGGGATTGCAGTCAGTGATGTGCCTGTAGACAAAATCGCCTAAATGTCAACGTAAACAATTGATTGTCTACGCGTAGACAATTCGAATTGTTTACGTGGGCATTTGTCTACACATTGTCTACATGTGGCGTAAACAATAAACCCATTTTCGAAAATTCCAAAAAAGATCCAAAACTACTACTACCCAAGTAGCTAATACCTATCACTTTGATATCAGCATTCACTGATTATAAATATGAGGAAAATCGATAATAAAATAAAAATAATTTTCGGAAAGGAAAGTGTGAGGTTAGAATTAGACGTCATTTATATTATTTTACATTGTTGACACGTTGTCTACATTGTCTACATTGTCCATTGTCTACCATCTACACGTAAAGTAGACAATTAAAGTCTACGTGTAGACGCACATCCCTGATTGCAGTATCTTGAGTTGGCATACCTGGCAATCTGGCATACTATGGAGTGGTTCGGTCGTACTAATGAATTTTGGAGATATGCGACACGCGACAAGCCGTAAAATCGAAAAGTGTGAAAAAATAAAAGAAATCAGAAGTCAAATAACTCTACATACGAATATAAGAATCGACGACTTCACCTACGCAGATATAGATATATTTATTTATTTTTTTTTGAAGTGAAACGTCTTAGGGTCGGTTTCCAGTGGCGGATTTAGAGGGGGGCGCGGGGGGCGCGCGCCCCCCCCTATTGAGCGACGCAACAACGAAATTTTTAACGAAAACACAAACATATTCATCAAGCATTATCCAACATGAAATTCCATATGGTTTTTGCTATTTTTCCAAATTTTTAATACTTTTAAATACGTTTGGCAGCAGCGAGCTGGGAGCGAATCGACTGCGGATGACGTAAATCCGCACCAACTTTGAATTTAATCTATAATTGAAAATTCCAATTAAATTTAATCTCCGATTAAATTAAATGTTGATGTCAAATGATAGCTTATGAAAATCTAAGATAGGAATGTGAAATCGGTTTTCCTCTGAAATTAACCGTTCAGGTTTTACAGCCTGTCAAAGTTGCAAAAAGTCAATGTTCAACTGTCAATATTTCCAAAACAGTTGGGTATAGGGTATATCACATGAAATCTGCTCAGAATTTTACGTAGAATCCAAATATGCAATCACATACAGGGTGTTTTATTTGAAAAAAAGAAAGTTGGTCTAGATAGCAAACAAACCAGAAGTGACACAGGCAATACGTTTAAGTAGAATTGTGGGAAATATTAGGGACATAAAGCTACTTGAAATAATTCATCGGTATCGGTAGCCGTAACGCAACTAGATACGTTGACAAGCGAAAAGGCTGTTAAAGCGCTCCCTGTTCCGGTAAACGTAAACGCATTTCATAACCTAGACATTTTTGTCTCAAAACTTCGGCGTTTTTATATCTAACCTTAAAATTGTTATCTTTTTTGCGATAGAGAAGCACTAAACACACAAGAAACTCAAGAAAGTATAAACTAAAGAAATTAAATTAACCCGGAATAAAAGGGAGGTTATATTCATTTGAAATTTGACACATGCGTCAGGAATGTCAAGATACGTTACCGATACGGATACCGCGAGAGGGCCGTAACGTTACGTTGTACGTACGGTATCTCGGCCTCCGTATCGCTTCTGCACATGCGCAGTACGATACTGATACGGATACCGAGCAAAAAATACGGAAGCTTTATGTCCCTAATTTACTGAGCAACTTTCATTAAGGTCACTTTTTCGTATACGAGGTAATTAGAAAGTTACAGGTATTATACGCGACTTTTTTGCCACTCTGTATATTTAAGTCGTTTTTTTATTATTTCTTATCTGAGCCTGAGGCCCTGATGGATCGCCCCCCCCTAGAAGGAATCCTAAATCCGCCGCTGTCAATTT